ATGTGTTTTGTATTTATGTACTCTGTATTTACATGTTTTGAATTCGTATGCTTATTTTTTTTCGTTTTGTATATTTTGTGTTATCGTTTTAAAAGTGGATTCACAGCTTAACCCCAATCAGACTTAAGATTTTATTTATGTAATAGCTTTTTTAATCTTTGATCTTTTTGTCATAATCTGGTGGAAGATTAAGAAGACATTTGGTGTTTATAACTACCACATCTTCAAGCAATCATTGTAACTCAATTTCTCTCCTTTCTGAATATTTTTTGCATGTGTGCTGCGTTGTTTCAGTTGTGCTTATACATGTGAGGTTTCCGAGAAATTGTAAAGAAAAAACAGTGAAGAAGTTTTTTTTGGTTCAGTGAATAAGTAAAAAATTTTGTTTTTTGTTGTTGTTGTTGTTGTTGTTGTTGAGGTGTTGTTATTGTCGTTGTTGTTGTTGTTGTTGTTGTTGTTGTTGTTGTTTCAAACATATAGGCACAAAGATTTTTCAAAAGTTTTATAATTAAAAAAGTTTATGAAAAAACATATTGAAAATTTGAAAAATGAATCATGTAAACAAAACAAAAGAGAACTTCTTGTATGCTTGGGTCTCGGAGTGTTTGCTGAAAAGAATTTTCAGTCAGTTTTGAAGTGTTAATTTTGAAGGGAAAGATTTGAAAATATGGAAAAATTTGCCACGAGCGAGAAAAAAGTTTCGCCGTCAAAAATTAAAAAAGGGTTGAATCATAAAGAGTAGAACAGTTTTTCGACAGAGTAAATAAATAATGAAAAAATTAGGAAAGAATAATTATGATTACGATAATAATAACAATTATATTATTAACTATATTAAATTATTATGACACAACTACTACTACCAACAATTCAATGAATAAAACAAAATATAAGAAGATAAGAAGAAAAACCAATTATAATAAAAATACAAACATAAAAACAAACAATTATGACTATAACTATAATAAAAATAAAAACATAAAAACAATTATGAAGAGACAAAAGGGAGAAGAGGGAGATAGCCAGATGGAATGACGAATGCTTTGAATAACCTTTCACGGAGAAAATGCAGTTAAATGGCCATTGTCAATCTCTATGTTCCATCTGTGACTCTGTTTGTTTGTGTGTGTGTGTATGTGTGTGTGTATTAGTTTGTGTGTGTGTGTTTCACTGTGTGTGTGTGTGTTTCTGTGTATGTGTATGTCTGTGTGCGTGTTTTTGTCTGTCTGTCTGTCTATGTCTCGTCTGTTATCTGCGTTTATTTTTCTTCAATCTAAGTGTCTAAAGTTTGATTTTTAACCGCTTGTTTGTCTAACTATATCTATCATTTCTGTCTATCTTTCTCTTTCTCTCTTTCTCTCTTTTCCCCTCTCTCCATTTCTCTCTCTCTCTCCCTTTTTCTCCGGGTCTCAGTTTGTGGGAATGTGGGCATTGTGAATTTTTATGTCCCATCTGTGACTGTAGGTGTCTGTAGGTGTGTGTGTGGCTGTAGGTATGTGTGTGTCTTTCTGTCTGTCAGTTTGTTCAACTATTTGTATGTATTTTTACGTATTTTATTTGTATTTTTTTATCTCTGATCCTGTCTCGTTCTATGTTTGTGTGTCTGTGTGTGTGTGTGTGTGTGTGTGTGTGTGTTTGTAAGAGTTTATGTAGCTGTCCGTATATTTATTTAACTGTGTGTATATGTGCGTCAAATGATATTTTTTTTTACAATTTTACTTGTCTAGGAGTGTCTATGTATGTATTTATGTTTGTGTGTGATTGTATATGTGTGTGAATGTATGTGTGAATATATATATATATATACATACATACATACAAATATGTTGTGTGTGTGTAGTTATGAATGTATATATTACGTAATGTAGTATAAGAATGTATGTAGATAGTATCTTCAATATTGCCTTTTAATGTTTTACCAGCCTAATTTTATATTTGCCTTTTTGTTGATCTGATCTTTGGGAAGTGGAATGAAAAAATTAAAAAGTATTGATTTATTGTGAAATTTAATATTTGACATATTAATTAATTAATTAATCAATTAATTAATTTATTTATTTATTTATCGATCAACCAACCTATCAACCAACAAATCAACCAGCCAACCAACAAGTCAACCAGCCAACCAATCAACCAACCAATCAACCAACCAATCAAAGTGCTTCCATTGGACCCTGGCTCTGGGATTTTCACTTTCTTTCGGTGCAATGTTCAGCAAGACCTGGCGGGTACATAAAATCTTCACCAACAAAAAAATTCAGAAAATGGTGACTGCTGTTATGCTATTATTATTATTATTATTATTATTATTATTATTATTATTATTATTATTATTATTATTATTATTATTATTATCATTCACCCATTCACCATCGTTGATATCGTCATCTTCATCATTGTCGTCATCATCATTGCCAATAAACAAACATCATCATTGCTGTTTGGAGACTATCACACAAACGAAACCTCTACCACACCTACACACAAACACACAAACAAACAAACACTCTACCACACACACACACACACACGCACGCACGCACACACACACACACACACACGTACACACACACACAAACACGAACAAACGAACAAACAGGTAATTAAAGACTACCAGCTGATGATAATCGTCTTCATTCTCGTCCTCATCGACATCACCATTCTCAGCGCCTGGCACCTCTTCGATCCCATTTCCGTCGTCAGTGAGAACATCAAGGAGCACGTCATCCCGGTAGGTTTTGATTATGATGATGAGGATCCGGTGGTGATGATGACGATGATGATGGTGATGATGATGACGATGATGATGGTGCTGGTTGTGATGGATTCAATATATTCAGCAGAAATGACAGTTTTTTTTATGCCTAATGACTTAATGGGCAGATAAATAATTTATGAGGGTGACATTTGTTTTCTGTTTTGACTATTACCACCACTACCACCATCATTTTATCATCATCATCATCATCATCATCATCATCATCATCATCATCATCATTATTATTATTATTATTATTATTATTATTATTATTATTGTTATTATTATTATTATTATTATTGGTGTGTTTGTAAGCGCCCTTTTATTATTGGTGTGTTTGTAAGCGCCCTTTTGAAAGATCTCAGAGGCGCTAACGATCATTGCAGTACATTGCTTAGCACTTTATTGAAGCAATGCAGTGGATGGAGAGTAAAAGACATTAGGACGGGTAAGCTTGGACAAAGAGATGGTGTTTCAGCCTTTTACGAAATTGAATAACAGACAACGCAGGATCATCAAGGTCCCAAGGCAACCATTAGCAGGACCCATTACGGAGACATTCCTTCGACCAAGAGCCAAGTTTGCTTTAGGTAGAAACATTAAACCTGAACTGTCAGAGCAAAATGTTTGACTCAGCAGTAGCATTGTTCTAGGAATGACTCTGCCAGTTAAAAATTCAGAGACAACTACCTTAATACATTTAAAAACCGTTAAACATATCTTGAAAATAACTCTTTGATGAACCTGGAGCCAGTGAAGAGCAAAATTAATTGGCTTAACGTTATTGTTATTAAGGCCGCCTGAAACCAACCTGGCAGCCAATTTTGAACCGACTGCAGTCTAGACATATTTACACCAGACAGGTCGTAATATAGACCAATATAGATGCTATTGATATTAATAATATGATATAACAACACTAATATAGACCGTTATAGATGATGTGTGTGTGTGTGTGTGTATGTGTGTGTGTATGTGTGTGTGTGTGTGTGTATGTGTGTGTGTGTGTGTGTGTGTGTGTTGTGTGTGTGTGTGTGTGTGTGTGACTAAAGAAAGAATCGTGAGTAATAAAAAAAAAATAATAAATAATACTGATAATAACAACATAACAACAACAGCAGCAACAAAACGACAACAACAACAACAAATACAGCAGCAGCAACAACAACAACAACAGACAGCAACAAAACATCAACAACCCTAACAGAAAGTGACGGATGAAGACACGCACACCACAATCCACAGCAACAACTTCTGTTACTCAGAAAACATGTGGTACTACGCCGCAGCTATGTGGGGTGTCAAAGGTCACCATTATTATTTTTATTATTATCATCATTATTATTAATATTATTATTGTTATTATTGTTTTTGTTATTATTATTATTACTATTGCTACTATTGTTGAATTTTTTACAGCTCAGTTAAACGCAGAGTTACTCACAATTTATTTTCTATTAGATTGCTATTTAAACTTTCCTGTCACAGAGGCTGTACACCACGCCACACCTCGCTACGCCACACCACACTACACCACACCACAACACACGACGCGCATGCATGGCATCATAATACGCGCGTATGTTGGTCTTTGAGTTTGGGACAGACAGTATTCGAACCATACCACCGCGCAATGGCAACGTGAGACGTGGCGCTTCTACCGACTGAGCTAACTTGGTTTTGTTAATGTTTTTGTAAGCGTTTGGATTTCTTAAATTATTTTTTATCGCTTATTGGCCAGTGAGTTTAGCAAATAATTTTAAAATAAATTCGATTGAATTCTAATTCATTAATTCATATCTATAAATTTTATAATTTAATAATATTTCTAATAACAATAATAATATTAATTATTATTATTTTATTATAATTTAATTATTTTTTATATTTTGTTTTATTATGCAAAAATTTCACTTCAATGTTTAGAGAATTTACTCAATAACAAAAATTTGAAGTTGTATGTAGCTGTAGAAATAAAATGATTTCATAGTTTTTGGAACCCCTCCAAATATTGCATTGGTGATGGGGCGTTCTTTTCTATCATTAACAGTTGTTGTTGATGTTTTTGTTGATGTTGTTGTTGTTGTTGTTGTTGTTGTTTATATTGTTGTTGATGATGTTGTTGGAGTTTTTGTTTATTACTCACATCTTATTTTATACTAGATTGTTATTTAAACTTTCCTGTCACAGAGGCTGTACACCACACCAAACCACGCCACGCCACACCACACAACAACACGCCACACCACGCCACACCACGCCACACCACACCACGCCACACCACACGACACCACACCACAAGATGCACATAACATAACATAACATAACATAAAGAAATGATGGGCGCGAAAAACATAGGCCCATATCTAAATGAAATAAAATGTTTTTATAACATCATTATGTATGATGACTTTTCAAAAACAGAAATAAACACACACACACACTCACTTATATACTTCTAATTGAAATAAAGATGTACGTTACCCACACATACTATCACACACGAACTACATCCACACACAACCCGCATAATACTTGCGTACATATACTAAAACAATACTTATAATGAATAATCTTAATCAAGCACACCAACCCAGACGTCTAAACACACCGTAAATACATATAAATACTTTAAAAGTATAGTAATAACCATTAAATGTCAATAACTATATATTAACCTAACAATATACATATATTAATATTTAGTTCACACATACATCCAAACACTCATTTGCTTATAAACATTCTCGTCTGCACACAATTTCATCACACATACTTACACATAAAATTAAATAAATAGTAAATAAATATACCCAAATAGAAATTCTATAATTAAACAAACCATTTTAAATACATATGTGTACACCCCATCACATCACACAAACAACATATATATATATATATATATATATATATATATATATATATATATATATATATATATGTATATATATATAGACACAATCGTAACATGAAGTGGAACAAATAGATACATAATTAATTAAATAAACAAAAAAATAAATAAAGGAAAACTTCAGTGACACAACGGTCTCATAATATAAAATGAAATAAAAATAAACAGTATTTTGTTAATTATAACAAATAACCACAAACAAAATAATGAAGTTAATGGCAATCCTTCTGCAATTGTTTAATAATGAATTAAAAAAACATATAACGTTCAACAAACATTTACTGTTTACCATTTATAACAATCATATTCAAATTTACAAGGAATGTTAAACCAATGACTGTCCACATTCTTCTTAAATTCATCAATGTTACGAGAGCACACCACCTCTTCAGGAAGGTCATTCCACAACGATTTTTAAAATAATACTTTCTTAGATTTTTATTGAAAGGTTTAACTTTGAGCCTCTTGTTCTGTTGTCGTTCACCTTTTCAATGACAGGATGACCAGCATCGGATTCACTCTTCAACATATTGAAAAGTAGAATCATATCTTTTCTATTTCTACGGGTTGTCAATTTGGGCAGTTCAAGATGTTTCAGTCTTTCCGCATACTTTAAATTGGAACAATTCTTTACCATTTTTGTGGCCCTCTTTCGGACTCTTTCGATATCTTTTACATCTTTTGTGGTCCACGGTCTCCAGACACTCACTGCATATTCCAAGTTTGGTCTGACTAAACCCTTGTACAACTGTAAGAAAGAAAATTTGTTTAAATCACGAAAATTTCTGTATATTATGCCTAGAATCGAAATTGCTTTGTTAATTGATTCATATATTTGAGATGTAAATTTCAATTTACTATCAAATAAAATACCCAAATTCCACACTTATACCTTGCTTTCTAAATACTTATTTTAAATATTGTAAAGATGCTCATACACATGACATTTTTGAGTTTGGGACAGACAGTATTCGAACCATGCCACCGCGCAAAAGCAGCGTGAGACGTGGCGCTTCTACCGACTGAGCTAACGTGGTTTTGTTACTGTTTTTGTTAGTAGCGTTTGGATTTCTTAAATTATTTTCCATCGCTTGTTGGCCAGTAAGTTTAGCAAATATTTTAAAATAAATTCGAGTGAATTTAATTCATTAATATATATTTATTAATTTTAAAAATTAATGATAATTCTGATTACAATAATAATATTAATTATTATTATTTTATTATAATTTAATTATTATTATATTTTATTATGTTTAGCAAAAAATTCACTTCAATGTTTAAAGAATTGACTCAATAACCAAAATTTGAAGATGTATGAAGCACGAATGAGTTTATCAACCTATAGATTTTGTAACCCCTCCAAATATTGCATTGGTGATGGGGCGTTCTTTTCTATCATTAACTGTTGTTGTTGATGTTGATGTTGTTGTTGTTTATTACTCACTTCTTATTCTATACTAGATTGTTATTTAAACTTTCCTGTCACAGAGGCTGTACACCACACCAAACCACGCCACACCACACCACAAAACAACACGCCACACCACACTACGCCAAACTAAGCCACAAGACACCACACGACAAGATGCACATACACATGACGTCTTTGAGTTTTGACAGACAGTATTCGAACCATGCCACCGCGCAATGGCATCGTGAGACGTGGCGCTTCTACCGACTGAGCTAACATGGTTTTGTTACTGTTTTTGTAAGTAGCGTATGGATTTTTAAAATTATTTTTTATCGCTCGTTGGCCAGTGAGTTTAGCAAATATTTTAAAATAAATTCGATTGAATTCTAATTCATTAATTAATATTTATTAATTCTATAATTTAATAATATTTTTAATAACAATAATAATATTAATTATTATTATTTTATTATAATTTAATTATTTTTTATTAATTATTTATTATTAATTATTTATCGCTCGTTGGCCAGTGAGTTTAGCAAATATTTTAAAATAAATTCGATTGAATTCTAATTCATTAATTTATATTTATTAATTCTATAATTTAATAATATTTTTAATAACAATAATAATATTAATTATTATTATTTTATTATAATTTAATTATTTTTTATATTTTGTTTTATTAAGCAAAAATTTCACTTCAATGTTTATAGAATTTACTCAATAACCAAAATTTGAAGATGTATGCAGCTGAAAAGGTCATGACGATATACCTATAGTTTCTTGAACCCCTCCAAATTTTACATTGGTGATGGGGCGTTCTTTTCTATCATTAACAGCTGTTGTTGATGTTTTTGTTGATGTTGTTGTTGTTTATATTGTTGTTGATGATGTTGTTGGAGTTGTTGTTTATTACTCACATCTTATTCTATACTAGATTGTTATTTAAACTTTTCTGTCACAGAGGCTGTACACCACACCAAACCACGCCACACGACACTACACAACAACACGCCACACCACACGACTACATACACATAACGTATGCACGCGCAAGCATGGCATCATAATACGCGCGTATGTTGGTCTTTGAGTTTGAGACAGACAGTATTCGAACCATGCCACCGCGCAATGGCAACGTGAGACGTGGCGCTTCTACCGACTGAGCTAACTTGGTTTTGTTACTGTTTTTGTAAGTAACGTTTGGATTTCTTAAATTATTTTTTATCGCTTGTTGGCCAGTCAGTTTAGCAAATATTTTAAAATAAATTCGATTGAATTCTAATTCATTAATTCATATTTATTAATTTTATAATTTAATAATATTTCTAATAACAATAATAATATTAATTATTATTATTTTATTATAATTTAATTATTTTTTATATTTTGTTTTATTATGCAAAAATTTCACTTTAATGTTTAGAGAATTTACTCAATAACCAAAATTTGAAGATGTTTGCAGCTGAAATGGTCATGACAATTTACTTATAGTTTCTGGAACCCCTTCAAATTTTACATTGGCGATGGGGCGTTCTTTTCTATCATTAACTTGTTGTTGTTGTTGATTTTGATTTTTTTGTTGTTGTTGTTGACGTTGTTGTTGTTGATGTTGGAGTTGTTGTCACTATAATGTTTTTTTTATTAATGGTTACTTATTTATCATCATCATCATCATCGCCATCATCATTATCATCATCGCCTTCTTTCTTTTTTCTCGTGCCCTATCCTTTCAGGACATTGACGGCCATCTTTAAATATTTAGAGATCACTTAAGCAAGATTATGCCGCAAAATAACTCAATCTCTCACTCATTCACTCACTCACTCACTCACTCACTCACTCACTCACTCACTCACTCACTCAATCAATCAATCAATCAATCAATCAATCAATCAATCACTCACTCATTTACTCACTCTCTCACTCACTCACTCATTTACTCACTCTCTCACTCACTAACTCACTACTCACTTATTTACTCACTCACTCTTTTCATTAAATTCAATTTTTTAAATCAAATAATGATGATGATGATGATACCATTCTTTTTCTTCTTCTTCTTCTCCTTCTTCTTCTTCTTCTTCATCTTCTTTCTTTTTTCTCTTTTTCTTCTTTTCAGCAACGATGAAAACGATGACGATGACAAAGAAGATGATGATGACAATGATGATGAAGAAGAATATGATGGTGACAAAGAAGATGATGGTAATGATAACGATACGATGACAACGAAGATGATGATGATATGATGGTGGTGGTGATGATGATGGTAATGATGACGATGACGATTGTTAGATTGTTATTTAAACTTTCCTGTCACAGAGGCTTTACACCAAACCAAATCACGCCACACCACACCACACAACAACACGCCACACCACACAACAACACGCCACACCACACCACAAGATGCACACACACATTTGAGTTCGGGACAGACAGTATTCGAACCATGCCACCGCGCAATAAATTATTTTCTATCGCAAGTTGTCCAGTTAGTTTAGCAAATATTTTAAAATAAATTCGAGTGAATTTAGTTCATTAATTCATATTTATTAATTTTAAAATTTAATGATAATTCTGATTACAATAATAATGTTATTTATTATTATTTAATTATAATTTAATTATTTTTATATTTTATTTTATTTAGCAAAAAATTCACTTCAATGTTTAGAGAATTTACTCAATATCAAAAATTTGAAGTTGTATGTAGCTGTAGAAATAAAATGATTTCATAGTTTTTGGAACCCCTCCAAATATTGCATTGGTGATGGGGCGTTCTTTTCTATCATTAACAGTTGTTGTTGATGTTTTTGTTGATGTTGTTGTTGTTTATATTGTTGTTGATGATGTTGTTGGAGTTTTTGTTTATTACTCACATCGTCTTCTTTCTTTTTTCTCGTGCCCTATCCTTTCAGGACATTGACGACCATCTTCAAATATTTAGAGATCACTTAAGCAGGATTATGCCGCAAAATAACTCAA